AGAATACAAATTTTAAATAGTCAGATGTGCTTTAAAGAATGTTGTTGCTCTGGTAACCAAATTGGCCACTTCCCCCAGCTAGCAATGATTCGACTTGTTGTGTAACTTCGATATTATTAAACAAATCAACAGGTCATTCCGTCTAAGAAGTTTTCAAGTCATGTATGCCAGCTTTTGATGGTTCCCTGAAGGAAAGCTACGTGATTAAAAATCCACTTCATTGGATTAGTCTTGTATTTTAATAGAAGGCATTCTTACACAATACATAATATGTTTAACAAATGGATTATTTAAATGCAGATGACATTTGGCATGTTGTCTATATTATTTTCATGAATAATGAATTGGAGCTCTGCCTTGCACTTAAAGGATCAGCCCAATGCACAGCCCAAGGAAAGTTGAATGCTGATTTATGAGCACCGTTTTTGTTTTCCTACAGTTCATGAGGAGGTGTAATAGGGTGTCTGACAAAGCATAGACAGGAAATGAACCCTGGCATCAAAACCTAACCTGTTACATCTGCACTTAATTAATTTTTGCAGGTGATAAAAGATTTAAAGACAAAATATGTTAAAGGATTTTTGAAGTGCAGGGCTTAATAGTCTAAATCTTGTTCATATCTGCACTCATAATTAAATCTTATTGTGAAGTCATGGCCTTACCATCTAGCACTTTTGTTCAGTTAAACATGCGTACTGGCTGTTGAAGAGAAGCAGAGAAAGGGGGAGTGTGGGAGAAGGAATGGCAAGTGAAAAATGAGTAGTGGAATAAGTATATGGGTAGGTTAGATATTCTTAGAATGTTTTTCAAAAATTTCTCAGAGTGTTCTACTATCACTTAGGAACATAACTATAAACTCCAAGAAACCAGTATTTTTGAAAAATCCACTTCTACTCTATGTTGTATCTGTTTGCTGACTTGAATCTTACAGTTCATTGAGTTTTACTGCTGTAAATGCTGGCCAAGAGTGAACTCTATGTTTATTCTTGCTTTTTAATAAGAAAAGCCTATTCAAAGTTTGCATTTTGTGAATGTTTTTAAGTCTTTTTGACTGTAAGTGTTACATTAACCTTGTCGGGAAAAGAAATCACTTCCATTTGACCTACTCAGCCAATAAGCGCCTAGGAATTCAGCTTCAGCTTTGCAAGGCAAGGTTAAATGTGCAAATCATTACCTGTGCAAATGATTACTTGTGAAGCTGCCTATCCTTACCCAGGAAAGTAGACAGGGAATGCTCAGCCTCTCTCTGACTCTATCCCATTGGCCAGAATAACGCAGCTGGTGAAAAGGGAGAAATATATGGCTGATACAGATTACTTCATTCCTGGAGCAGTTGCAGTCCAGTCCCTAGCCTGCTCCATGGTCAGTGCAATGATGTACAAAAAATTCATATGGAAAATTTCTTATGTACATGAACTATGGATAAATCACAATCCAAACTCAATGAATAAACAAGTTAGTAGTGATGTCGTTATGTCCACCAACAGAGAGCTTTGGGCATCTGAAGGAAAGAATGGAATTACAGATGTTAGACTTGAAATTAACCTTTAAGGCTATATTTTGATAGTGACTAGCACAGCAGGACCCCATGCTGGTTGGCAGCTATACATGTAACTACAATGTAAATGTTATAAAGTAATATTCAATCCCACACATTAAACTGTACTCTAGTTATGAAATTAAGTGTAGTCTTTGTAGCTGTTAAACGTGTCCATATGTACATTCTTAACCTTTTAATTTTTAATCTTTCCTTCATTTTTTTCTACACTAAAAGACCTCTCTGTCAGCTTTTCTTTCCTCATTCCACCATTGAATAAATCTCCATTTTTGAACTGACTTAGATACCCTGACTACATTTTATCTACTAAAGGCAGAATATGAAACATTTCCCACATGGTAACATCTGCAGTCTTAAACAACACATTCCTGTGTTTAACCAGAGAAGTAACTGCTCTTCAAAACTGAGTAAGCTTTGGTGGAATTAAAGTTTAGACAAGAAAGCTATCTTTGAGATTTTAATAACAAAAAAAAAAAAAAAAAAAAAAGAGGCGCTCTGTATGCCCATTTAATATTTTTTCTTCTCATTTGAAAACTCTTACAGCAATACTATATCTAAAGCCCCACGGAAAATATGCATGGAAAAGACAGACTAATTAAAATCACAAAATGAAGTCCTATTGTGTTTTTAGTCATAGTCTCCACAGATCTAGCTATATGACCAACATGGCTTCTCAGGTTATTCTTGCAATCCTCATTCCAAAACCATCCATACTTGCATGTATGTTAGCATGATCTGGGTCTCTTTTGGAGTAAACCAATTAATTCTGTCGCAGTTGGGGTTAGTCTGCATGCCAGATTTTACTTCATTTGCCAGTCAGAGCCCTCTAACACTACTCTGGCTGCCTTCAGATCTCCAACACCCTCACACCAATGTGTGCCCTTGCACCTCCAACATGTGTTCCAGAGGAAGTCCAAGTCAAGCACAATGCAGTACAAGTAAGACTCAATGTAGAGAGTCCTGAACGGTGTGGGTGAAAGTCATGGGCTACATCAGTGGGGAAAGAGCACAGGCAATGGGCAGTGCTTGCTGCACCATTGGCAATGTACACCTAACTTGAACCCTCCTGGAGTCTAGGCATCCTGAGGAAAATGTGACCATTGTTTCTCTGATACTGAATTTGGTTCAGACCTCGTAGTGTTTGTAAAACAAATACAGGCTGGGTGACAGTGTTGCCATTCAGAGTACTTTGTCTGTCCTTCTTCTGAAATCTCTCTTTAAATCATAAATTTCAAAGGGATGGATTAAAGAAAGAATCAATAATATCTATAGTTTTTCAACTTAAAAATGCCAGCGGAGAAACTTATAAAAAAAGACTGAATTTTCTTTTGCTGAGAGGCAAGTGGATTTTCCATTTTCACTTGTACGATTTCTTGTGTCTAACCATATAGTACAATACTAGAAATGTGAAAACAAAACTAAAGAAGAGGAAAAGTCCATATCATCAGCCTTTCAGATATACCATCAGCATTACTTTTTCAGCATTTTGTTTAATGACAGAATTTCTTTTTACTGGTGTTGTATAATGTTTGTAATATGGACACTGGCCAAGGTCACTACTTGATTGTGGAAGGCACCATCCTATCTGCCAGATGATTTAATAGCTAATGAGATCATATTCCTATGTCTTCAACTGTTGCCGTCATGATTTTGCAAAAATGAAGTATGAAGTCCTTTCCGCATCTGGCATCTCTTTTGATGTTGATCTAACTGCTGAGGGACTGCTAACTGAACTGAATGTTTCAAGAAAGCCAATTTACTCAGCTGGTCGCAGAGCCTTTGACCTCAATAGTGGAACTTGGCAATTCAATGAATACACTTATGTTTAGTGTTCTGTCAAGAATTGTGAAAAAGCTCTGTAAACCATAGATCCTTCTGCAAAATACTAGTTTGTAGTTTAAACATTAGTCTTTCTTCAGAGGCCAATGAGGCTAGTTAATTAAGCCTGAGGGGTTATGAACTGTTGGCAGTTAATAAGTCATAAAATTCCTCCATAAAACAGGATGCTAGATTCCATCACTGAGGCAAGGAGTACAAAGACCCGGTGTATAAATATCTAATTGTACAAAAGGACTGGGATTTCTCAATGACTGCTCATCTGGAGTCTCCAGGGCACGCTCGCTATGGTTTCCTGATTTTTAGAAGCCAGTTTAAAAAATGAGTGCATTAAAGAGTAATTTGCCTGAAAGTTCAGGAAGTACGGGGTGGTGAAGGGAGGGGGAAAGGGAAAGACAAAAGGAGGGCAAGGGAAAGGGAGAGAAAGAGAGAGAGAGAGGGTAAAAGAAAGCAGAACTGAGCTCTCTACACTGAGTTGGACATTATTACATTTGTCATCTGTTTTCTTTCTCCTTTAGGATGTTCACCATGGCAACGGTACACAGCAGGCTTTTTATGCTGACCCCAGCATCCTGTATGTTTCCCTCCATCGCTATGATGAAGGCAACTTCTTCCCTGGCAGTGGAGCCCCAAATGAGGTTAGGTTTATTTCTTTAGAGCCCCATTTTTATTTGTATCTTTCAGGTAATTGCGTTGCATGATTACCCCTAATTTTCTTGTCCTTCTCTGGTTCTTTAAATTACACCAGATTACCAAATTGTCCACTGGGAGCAGGGGACCAGTGGAGAACAAGTGCATAACCCAGAGCAGTCCTTGTCAAACAAGGCTGGGCTGATCTGACATCTTGTTTGATGTTTGTTTCTAAAGCACACTTGAGAATTTTTTCTTTTTTTTTCCTTTCCCTCTCCCTTTTCCTCCTCCCTTTTCCTCCTCTTCATTCCTTTTGGTATTTTATTCTTATTTTTCAGGTTGGAAGTGGCCCTGGTGAAGGGTATAACATAAATATTGCTTGGACAGGTGGCTTGGATCCTCCTATGGGCGATGTTGAGTATCTCACAGCATTCAGGTTGGTACCTTTTTCTTTTAAAGTTATGAAAACCGGTTGTAGAACATAACCACATGAATAAGAGCTAATGTAATCTTGAAAGACAGGAGAATGACCCGTGGAGAAACTACGTTAATCCTGGTATCCCAGTGTACAAAAGCTTAGTAAATAATAAAAATGGGTAATTTAACTGTTGTGATCATCCACTCAGAATAGACAAATAAAAAGTCTAATGATTTAATTGGTCACTCATCATTATTGTACCATGCCCGTGAAATGATTTTGAGCTGGCTCACTTCTCTACCTGCAAAATTTAAATGTAAACATTTATACCAGGCAGAAGAAATTTACTGTTCACGTTCATGTTGATTGCCGTTACATGGAAGTATAGCAGATAGAAGGCAATATGAAGTACAGTCTGAATCCAGGGTTCCTCATTCCCTTAAATGTCTCATCATGGTGCTCACAGATTTGACTAGTTGGCTTTTTCTATTAATTGCAGTAAGGTGTAATTCACTTAAAAGTAAATAATTGTGAAATGTCTCAAGAATTATAGGAAATGTTGCATGCTGTATTTCTCTGCTTTCAATAGCTCATTCTAAATGAAATTTTATTCTTTCATAGGTGATGCATCATAAACTTTAGTCTTATTTTCATGGGACCAGAGGAGATAAAACCAGTTTAAAATACACTCTTTTAGACTTCCAGTAGTCCTGTCTTACATACACCATTTCCGTTCATTGTAATGCAGTCCAGTGGAAGAGTTTAGTGGGCACTCACCTCTCAAGATTGGGCAAATACTATATGTTTGAAAAGAGCTCTCATTCAGTGAAAACTGATATGCAAGAAAAGCAATGAGACAACTAACGTGTATCTCAAATCACTTTCAAGTCTTTTAGTCTGAAGTAGTGCATTTACTTTATACAGCTTTTGACTATATTCTATTGAAAATACATCACAAAAAGTATTAAACTATTTTTTTTCTTTTTTTTTTTTCCCCTGAAGCACTCCTGTGGAGTCCATGAAATAATATGTAGAGGATCTGATAAATAACACACCTGAATTCAGAGTCTAAGCCCTAGACACAGAAATAGCCTTACACATTCACAATATCACATTATTATTATTGTGGAAAAGGTTTTAATTTTGTTTACAATCTTTGCCTGTATTTAAAAAGAGTCTAAACAAATAGTCAGTGACAGGCTTCAAATTTTCTACACCTCAGTATTGCCTCACGGTCTTGCCAAGGTCTGTCTTATTCTTTGGTGAGTTTTTACAGAAGTTAGGGGACTGGATGGGTCAGATCACTGGTATTAGTGTCTGATATTAATATATCTGATATGATCACCCCAAAGTTCTTGATCTGGGTCCAACCTGTCACAATAATGATATAGACAATATGGTCATCTAATGCTGCGGGGAATGGTGGTCCCAGCTTATTGAACCAAAGACTTACATAACTGAGACTGCAACCATAATTGGTAACCCTGCTATCCTGACAACAAATACCTGGGCTTAATAATACCTTTTCAAATATGTACCTTGCCATTCTAATTTAAGGTACGCTAGTAAATAGTTTGGAGCAGCTAATATTGCTGCTGTATCTATTGCTCTGCTTCAGAGTTAGAGGAAGTTTCAATCTCTGTGCCTGAGCAAAGCAACACTATTCAGGAAAATAAAATTCATGTAAGCTGCTACACACTGACTAACCATTTACAGACATACCACTAAAAGAAGTGCTAATTATATGGTTAATGCAGATAAATTCAAAGTAAAGTTTAGGATCTCCCTTCAAAAATTGCTGATGATGCAAAATTTCATGTCATTTTAAATGCATCCATTTAACCTTGAGATTAAGGTTGTCGTTAATGTGAAGGTCATACATTGTGTTAAACAGCTAATTGCCTTTTCTTTTTTAAAGAAATATAATGCCGTTGACTAATTCCAGTAGATACTGCTGTTATCCTTTTCTCCAAAACTATAGGAACAAGTGGAAATGTTTCCTTACACCCTAAGCCCCTTTTTGCCTGGGCACAGTCTTTATGCCCTCTGTAGTGCTTACCGATATGGACTTGGTATGACTGCTATGACAGTTTTGAGTGGTGATCAATGAAGCAAACTGCATGGAACATCAAAGGGTGAATACAAAAATATGTAAATTACATAGGCTAGGCCACATAGCTATTTTCTATGGATCTGGTCTGAATGGTAGCTAAATTTAAAACTCCTAGTAAAGAGACACTTAATCTGTGGACCAGAATCTATCCCTGCTATTATCCAAAAAGTCATGATGTAGCCTACATTCCCAATTTGGCCAGGACAGAATTGTGAGACAGTAGTCAGGAAAGGGAGATCTGCAGTTCAGTCCTTTTGCCATAGAGAAAAAAGGAAGATATAGTCTTGGAAGAAAACAATAGAAAAGTTGCTAAAAAATCCAGCAAGTCAGTTGTTTTTCTGGAGTTTTGACCTGCAACAGGTCAGTTTTTAAGAAAATAAACAGTGAGTTTTGTAAATAGGACTTGATTTTTTTCAAATAAATTGATTTTAGAGACAGAGTTACAGAGAAGATCCTAGCTAAGGCATGAGGAAAATGTTGGACAGCCAATATTTTTTAAGAGAAAAATAAGGGACAAAATGGAGAGATTTTTTCTTTATACCTAATCTCCAACAGACAGAGAGGTTATGCAGTATTCAGCCCCTAGTGAAGGCAGAATAGGGTGTTGTTGAAGGTCCTCTCCAAAACAAACAAGTTATGAATAAGTTTGCAGATGGGTGGAGCCTGTTTGGAGAGAAGCTGAGGCTTCCTGCTTTCTCCTCCAGAGCCTAATCCTTTGAGCTCTTAGGAATGGAGAAATTTGCATTAAAATCATCTAAAGGTCCCTAGGGGGTACACATAACCTTCACTTTCTCACCAGCAGAGCCCTAGTTTCTTCCTAGAATTGTACCAAGCACATATTTGAAGCGTCAGCAACCATGACACTAGGTAGCTCGTTACTGCTTGATTGACTGACAAATTTTACAGCTGAGATCCTTCTGAATGATAATGCCCACAGAAATAGAGACAAAGGCTTTTTTCTGCCTCTAGAATTTTTCCCATAAGCAGGTATTATATATGATGATGTATTTGATGTCAGGTATATTGTTCTATTTGTAGAACAGTACTCTATTTGTAGGCCAGATTCTATCTGTAGAACAGTACTGACATTTACACACATGCATATATATACATGAAGGTAGCTGAATATTAGTTATTTTCCACTTCATAAATCAATAGATAAATTTATTTTAAGTAAATCTTCTTGCGACTGATGAGATTCCACCCCACTCTTCCTCCAAACTGTCCGAGAAAATATTTCTTCAGGAAAAAACAGCTTTCATATGTAAAAATGCAGAAAAGTTGAAGATGAGTTAGAGGCATAGCACAGAATAATCACTTCAAAGGCATGCTGAGTGAGTGGCTCCAGTGGGACTCTAGTGGGAAATAGGAAAAATTATGGTGCCGGTTTGTGTCTGCCATTTTGATTTCAGTGCTCCTCGAAGAGTCTTTACTGTATTTTTAAGCTAACACTTTCTAGTGCAAAATCAAATTAAAATGGCTGTAGACAGTTTGAAGATGAAGAGTGCTCTTCCGTGTATAAAAGAATATGTTTTCCCTTCTATTTCTTTTCCATTTTTCCTAAGAAAATATGTTTGTTCATGTTAACTACAAGGAGGTAGTACAAAATCCATGATAGAAAAGTTTCTGTAGAATGAAAAAGTGCAGTAATGAAATCACTATACCTTTTAATTTTGCTGTAAGAGTTTTGTTTGATGAATGTTTGTCAGAGTTAAGCAACTGACCTAGCTACAAAAATCCTTGAAAGAATGTCCTTTTTCTCAAAGGCAGGCATTTCTTCTTTTCCCCTACGATAATAAAAAAGCACAGCTCTTTTCCATTATTTTCAAGGCCTGATGTATCTTTACCTCTAGAGAGTTTTTTTTTATCATTTACTTCCACCTATTCAGGTTAAATTTGCTTTAATCTCTCTGAAAGCAATAGATGGTGGCTATTTTCTAAGACGATTCTACACTTGAGTTTACAAGGACGTAATCCACTCTCTTCTGCCAACATTTATAGAAAAAATAAGAGGAATGGTAAACTACTAATGTTCAAATAATTATTTTCATAAGCTGTACATTATACCAGATGTGCTCAGTAAAGGAGGCAGCAGGCAGAGACTCAGGTCTGTGTTGCACATGCATGCATGTACATGTATGTACTTGGAGTTTACAGAGGACTGGAGAGATGCATTTCCATAGAGCAAAATATAGAAGACACAGGAGGCAGTGAAAACAAACTTGAGTGTTCAAAAGAGTGAGGGAGAAGCAAGAGACAGAAGGAAACTGAGGTGTGCCTTCCAACCTCTTTGCACTGCTTTTATTCAACAAAGGGGCTGTAAATTTGGCTTAACCAGCCAGTATGCTCTGGCTGCTTTGCTCTACTCCAGAGTAGCATAAAACAGCCACAGCGTATCAATGAACCTGGCCATAAAATCTTATATAAAATGAAACGTGTGTGTGTGTGTGTTTCTTGGAATGATTAGAAATAGCTCGTGATAATGTTATCTTTGAGTTCAATTTTTAGCAGTCACATGTATGATTTTGCTTTAAGAAGGTGAGTAAATTAAAAAGACATGCATAACATTAAGGAAGAGTTAAGGATGAACTATATCCATGATTTAATTTAATTTAAAATACAGCACAAAATTTATAATTACCCCAAAATGATTTTGAATGCAGAGAATTCAAAATTAAAATCATACTTGAAACCATATATGTCAGAGTAAAGAAGAAACAAAATGAAGGTGTGCAGAAAATCTTCACTCTATCTTACAGTTCCCAGTGCTTGTTTTGGGACAAAATAAATATGTTTAAAACTCTCAGTATTCTAATGTCTGATCAAAAATATTAAGAAAAATTAATTGTAGTCTTGTGGCCTTACAGGGAATACTTAAGTTTATTTGAGAGTTTGCATTGATGTA